TCTGCTGCACTTAAGGTTCCGAAGAGCACAGTGGCCTCCATTCCTTAAATGGAAGACGTTTGGGACGATCAGAACCCTTCCTAGAGCTGGCCGTCCGGCCAAACTGAGCTATCGGGGGGGAAGAGCCTTGGTGAGAGAGGTAAAGAAGAACCCAAAGATCACTGTGGCTGAGCTCCAGAGATGCAGTTGGGAGATGGGAGAAAGTTGTAGAAAGTCAACCATCACTGCAGCCCTCCACCAGTCGGGGCTTTATGGCAGAGTGGCCCGACGGAAGCCTCTCCTCAGTGCAAGACACATGAAAGCCTGCATGGAGTTTGCTAAAAAACACCTGAATAAGATTCTCTGGTCTGATGAGACCCAGATAGAACTTTTTGGCCTTAATTCTAAGCGGTATGTGTGGAGAAAACCAGGCACTGCTCATCACCTGTCCAATACAGTCCCAACAGTGAAGCATGGTGGTGGCAGCATCATGCTGTGGGGGTGTTTTTCAGCTGCAGGGACAGGACGACTGGTTGCAATCGAGGGAAAGATGAATGTGGCCAAGTACAGGGATATCCTGGACGAAAACCTTCTCGAGTGCTCAGGACCTCAGACTGGGCCGAAGGTTTATCTTCCAACAAGACAATGACCCTAAGCACACAGCTAAAATAATGAAGGAGTGGCTTCACAACAACTCTGTGACTGTTCTTGAATGGCCCAGCCAGAGCCCTGACTTAAACCCAATTGAGCATCTCTGGAGAGACCTAAAAATGGCTGTCCACCAACGTTTACTATCCAACCTGACAGAACTGGAGAGGCTCTGCAAGGAGGAATGGCAGAGGATCCTCAAATCCAGGTGTGAAAAACTTGTTGCCTCTTTCCCAAAAAGACTCATGGCTGTATTTGATCAAAAGGGTGCTTCTACTAAATACTGAGCAAAGGGTCTGAATACTTAGGACCATGTGATATTTCAGTTTTTCTTTTTTAATAAATCTGCAAAAATGTCAACAATTCTGTGTTTTTCTGTCAATATGGGGTGCTGTGTGTACATTAATGAGGAAAAAAAATGAACTTAAATGATTTTAGCAAATGGCTGCAATATAACAAAGAGTGAAAAATTTAAGGGGGTCTGAATACTTTCCGTACCCACTGTATATATATATATATATATAAGCATACACATAATATTAATTGTAAGTTTCATTTCATCAGTCACTCGTTGCTGTTTAGGTGTCGTCCAAGGTATTTATTTAGTCAAAATGCCGAGGTGCCAAAGGCAGCTATCACACCAAATTCATATTTTGGTATCAATCCAACCCTACTGACAAGTCTAATCAGTTGCATGATGTCAAAACTTTAAAAAAATATTATATTGATATATGACTAACAGATGATTTAAGATTTTAACTGTCAGATATTCACAGGTTTTTGAGCTTTTAGAGTGATGGGTTATATACATGTATTGGGAAATAAGTACAAACTCAGAGACACATTTGCCTTCACACTCTAGTTTTTAGTTTTGTCAACAAGTCTAAAGGGGCGGTCATACTACACTTTCTGTTCCATTGACTTCTACTTGTACAAATGCACATGTTTCACATTTCGCTGTGTTCCAAAGTTCAAGTTTGGCGAAATTTAACCAGCGAATTAATATCACATGAAGTGTAACCAATAGAAAATTGTTGCATCACGGTGTGACCTCATAGCTGAATTAAAAGTGTACATGTTAAAAAAAGTGGGGGAAATAATAAAAATTCTTTGACAACATTTTTCAAGTACAGTAAGCTTGTCTTGTTTTAAGGATGTTTAGATCATTTTACTGGTGTTTAGAACATTTTTTAGAGCGTAATTTTGTTTCTTTCTGATTAAATGACATCGCGCCCTAATGAACCCTATCAATAAACCATCAGTAAGACCAGTCAGCATATCAATGAATCCACAAAAACCCATCAATCCTATTAGGCATCCTATAGGGGAGAAACAGACACATGAATGTTAAAGAATAAAAATAGAAGAGCAGAGATTTAAGTGTGATAAAATAAAGCCCAGTTGATCTTCTTTTCTTGACCTCTACACACGCTGTCAGCTGGAGCTGTGGTCAGGGGCTAATCTTATCCTCTTCACTATCTCCCTCACACACACAGATGTGTCAAGTCCTCCACTATCCCAACAGCCTCATTAGAACAGATTGGTGCTCTCTCAGCCCTGAAATGGAAACTACCATACTGCCGTAGAGAGAGATCGGGTTTAGTTGAGAATTCTTTCTCTCTGCTGTGGCCGTTTTACAGACAGTATGTCGTCTGAAGACACTTTTTTCTCTTTTTCACACATTTAACTAACAGACAGTCATGGTCCACATGATAGAAATGGCTTAATAAACAATGTCTTAATGCAATTGTAAAAATGTAAAAAGTTTGTTTGGAATGATGTAAAATATTATCTCAATATTAAAACAATTTAATTGTTAATTGTCACATTAGGCTTAAAGGTAGGGTAAGCGATTTCTGGTAGCCAATGTTGACATTTGAAATCACCAAAACAAACATGCCCCTACCCCAAAAGGGTCTCGCCCCTGTTTTGATAGCTCCGCCCCACACATACGTACGCAACCTAGGCAACGATTAGTTCTGTGAAACAAAGCAAAACCAATGTTACACCGTGTCTACACCGGACGCGAGTGGTGCGGCGCGACAAAATACTATAGAACTCATAATCAGTGATGCTGTCTACACCATATATATACATATCTATGGTCTACACTGGGCCAGTGTACTAGACCGACCGACAGAAAACTACTGCTGCGTTCGATTTATGATGTATTGACATACATTTCAAATGATTTTCAACGTTCGCTTTGTCGCGGCCAGTGTACTAGACCGACTTTAGCTGTTGCGGCGCAGACATGGTGTTACTCACCTAACGAGAAGAAACAAAGCAAACTTGGCGTCCGATCGCAGGCCTTCCGCTCCTTGAGTTCTCTCCAGCGCTGGAAAGCTGATTCGATATTTACATGGGTCCTACTTCTTGCCTTATTGCCTTAAGCCTTCGTTTGTTCCACAGACGTTTTCTTCTTTTGTTTTTTATCAGCCATCTCTATCTTTCTGTCGCTCGGCCCCGCTAATGTCCGTCCTGTGCACTGAACGCTCTCTCCTCCACATCATGAGTAGACACGCCCCTTACTGCTGATTGGCTACAAGTTTGTTTTGCTATTCGGCCCGAATCGGATTTTTAAAGCATTTTTGAAAAATCGCTTACCCTACCTTTAAAAGAAAACAGCAACTCTTGTTTTCCACATATTATTGTTCATTAGTTCTTTTTTTTTTTTGCTGAGCATGTGTGTTTGTATGTTTTTAGGTACATATATGTGCCATTGGGTGGCTCTCGTCATGGTGTGTTCCGGAAGCTCGTCTCCACGGCGCTTGCATTTGGGTTTGTGTGTTTCTGGCATGGTTGCCATGACTACCTTCAGTATTGGGCCTTGCTGAACTGGATTGGAGTGTTGGTGGAGAACGTTCTCGCACTCCTCTTCTCCTCTCGTCCTCTTCATCACGTTATTGTGAGTTTACACAAACCCTCTCCTCTCAAGTTATCAGCATTAAATAAAGTTCAATGTAAGGTCACTAATAAATCCCACATGACACGTCATGAATAATAACAATCTCTTTTGATCTCATGTTAGGTGCGGTGTCTGTCACCTCGGATGAAGAGGCGTGGCCTAGCACTTATCTCTGCCCTCTCCACTGCTTTTCTGATTCTGTCCAATCTGCTTTTTCTGGGCGGGATCCATGTGGGTAGAATCTTCTGGAAGAGGCTGTTTATCCAAGGTGGGTCATTTACATGTATGGACTTTCTTACATACCCTTGTGAAAAATAAGTACATTTTAGCATACTTTAAAAAAACAGTACTTATTATGGAAATATTATACTTTTAAAAAATATTCTTAGGTGTGAATTGAATGTAATGTTTTCAGACACTTAATTTCTGAACGATTTGCTGAAAACTTGCTCACCATTAGGCCATCAAAGATGTAGACGAGTTTGTTTGTTCAATTGAATAAATCTGGAGAAATGTAGCATTGCATCCTCTGCAGTGAAACTCTTAAACTCTTTAACACTTTTCAAAAGTCATGAAAGTGACACTTAATTGCACTTAATAATTTTTTATTTCATTAATATTATGTTATCTGCAAGTACTTTAAGTAGTACTTTGCACTACAGGGAGATTCAAACAAAGTAAGTAAAGGGGAAACATCAAAAGCTGCTGAAAAACTACTAGCTGTGTAAGGAGTGAGTACATGAGATGCGACAGGAACAGAAACATTACTTAAGACATCACATGGAAAATTAGAGCTAAAAAGAACAGTCTTATGATCAGAAAAAATGGTATCAACAATCTTCAGATTACCAACAGAAAACCCCAAAGATAAAACAAGATCAAGAGTATTACCATGCTCATGAGTTGGACACTGTAAAAGAGCAATACACATGTATATTGAAATCCCCCAAAATTAAAATTTTGTCAAAAGAGGGGACGATTGCAGATAACAGATCAGAGAATTCTTGTATAAAATCCCCATGAGAGTTTGGGGGTCTATAAATTAAAACACATAGAACAAACTTAAAAGAATTCAATGTAATTAGCTGAGATTCAAACGAACAAAAAGAGTCCGAGGGTAAAAGTCTACATTTAAACTTTTCTTTAAAAACAACTGCAAGACCCCCACCCCGGCCAACCTAGGGGTACTGAAAAAACTGCAACCAGCAGAAGAGAGTTCAGAGAGTGAAGACGTGTTGCCAGCGTTAAGCCAAGTCTCAGTAACAAATAAAAAATCAAGTTCGTGAGAGGCAAAGAGATCGTTCAAAATAAAAGTTTTATTTGCCAGAGATCTCGCGTTTATCAACGCCATTGTCACTGGAGTGGTGTCAGAAGAAGATATTCATTCTGAAGAGCTCAGAACACATTTTGTGTTGGAGAAGAACTGAGTCACTGTTTTGTGGTGCATATGAGATGTTGCAAATTATTTCGTAAGATTGTTTGTAGGATTTATGAATTATTATTATGCTTTTTCAATATAGATTGGGGTATAAAATTCTGAACATTGAAAAATTTGTGATTCAAAATCAAACTTAATAAACAGTTGTAGAATTTTGATCAAATTAAAACCAAGAAATGTTATAACATAAAATTAAGAGAAATTATCATATTACATATAATACATATTCAAGATTCTTCACTATTTCTTGGTCACTAATCAAAAAAAGTCTTCACAAACTGCTTTAGGATCTTGCTGGTAGCTGCTAAGCAGCATTTAATGTCAAATGAAGCACCAGTGGGCATCTGGGCATTTATCTGTGAAGAGTTATAGAGAGAGAGAGTGGTGTGAAGGTCTTTTGGAAAAATAAAGGCAGTGAATGTCTGTCTGGAAGTTTCTAGCTGCTATTCATCCATGTGCCACCGGGTACCATAAACACCACAGAGTCTTAACATTCGTTCTTGACATCTCTGAAAGGTAGCCGTGCTGATCACACCCACCCCCTACAGCAGCTGTCAGTCAGATGCTGACGGAAATGTTTTGTGCCACTCAGTTAGAGGCAGGAGGAGCTGCAGGGTACAGAAAAGCTCAGAGAGAGACCTGCTGGGCACAGAGACTCACAGGACCCTGAACTTATTCAGTCATTTATTCATTTCATTCTCTGTTTAATATAGGAACCAGATCATACTACTTTAGTTACATTTAATTAGCTCCCTTAAGTCAGTTTTGTTTGTCAAACTTGCAATTTTTTATTTTTTATTTTTAGTTTACATGATTTTAAGAAGGTTGTCTTACATTTCAGTATATATATATATATATATATATATATATATACCATGCCGCTTGAAAGTTTGTGAACCCTTTAGAATTCTCTGTATTTCTGCATAAATATGGCACAAAACATTATCAAAATTTCACACAAATCGTGAAAGTAGACAAAGAGAGCCCAAACAAACAAGTGAGACAAAAATATGTTCTTTGTCATTTATTTATTTATTCAGGAAAATTATACAATATTACATATCTGTGAGTGGCAAAAGTATGTGAATCTGTAGGATTGGCAGTTAATTTGAAGGTGAAATTAGAGTCCATCTGTTTTTCAGAGTTGTTTTCAATCGGTGAGATGACTATCAGGTGTCAGTGTGTGCCTTGTTTTATTTAAAGAACAGGGATCTATCAAAGTCTGATCATGTTTGTGAAAGTGTATCATGGCATGAACAAAGGAGATCTCTGAGAACCTCAGAAAAAGAGTTGGTGTTGCTCACATCAGGCTAGAAAAGGTTGCAAAAACATCTCTAAAGTGTTTTGACTCCCCCAATCCACGGTCAGACAGATTGTGTACAAATGGAGGAAATTCAAAACAAGATCAAGAGTATGACCATGCTCATGAGTTGGACCAAAAACACACTGTAAAAGATCAAATGACTCTAATAAATTTAAAAAATCTCTGACCAAGGGCTTTGACGGGCAATACACATGTATATTGAAATCCCCCAAAATTAAAATTTTGTCAAAAGAGGGGACGATTGCAGATAACAGATCAGAGAATTCTTGTATAAAATCCCCATGAGAGTTTGGGGGTCTATAAATTAAAACACATAGAACAAACTTAAAAGAATTCAATGTAATTAGCTGAGATTCAAACGAACAAAAAGAGTCCGAGGGTAAAAGTCTACATTTAAACTTTTCTTTAAAAACAACTGCAAGACCCCCACCCCGGCCAACCTAGGGGTACTGAAAAAACTGCAACCAGCAGAAGAGAGTTCAGAGAGTGAAGACGTGTTGCCAGCGTTAAGCCAAGTCTCAGTAACAAATAAAAAATCAAGTTCGTGAGAGGCAAAGAGATCGTTCAAAATAAAAGTTTTATTTGCCAGAGATCTCGCGTTTATCAACGCCATTGTCACTGGAGTGGTGTCAGAAGAAGATATTCATTCTGAAGAGCTCAGAACACATTTTGTGTTGGAGAAGAACTGAGTCACTGTTTTGTGGTGCATATGAGATGTTGCAAATTATTTCGTAAGATTGTTTGTAGGATTTATGAATTATTATTATGCTTTTTCAATATAGATTGGGGTATAAAATTCTGAACATTGAAAAATTTGTGATTCAAAATCAAACTTAATAAACAGTTGTAGAATTTTGATCAAATTAAAACCAAGAAATGTTATAACATAAAATTAAGAGAAATTATCATATTACATATAATACATATTCAAGATTCTTCACTATTTCTTGGTCACTAATCAAAAAAAGTCTTCACAAACTGCTTTAGGATCTTGCTGGTAGCTGCTAAGCAGCATTTAATGTCAAATGAAGCACCAGTGGGCATCTGGGCATTTATCTGTGAAGAGTTATAGAGAGAGAGAGTGGTGTGAAGGTCTTTTGGAAAAATAAAGGCAGTGAATGTCTGTCTGGAAGTTTCTAGCTGCTATTCATCCATGTGCCACCGGGTACCATAAACACCACAGAGTCTTAACATTCGTTCTTGACATCTCTGAAAGGTAGCCGTGCTGATCACACCCACCCCCTACAGCAGCTGTCAGTCAGATGCTGACGGAAAGGGTTTGTGCCGCTCAGGAGCTGCGGGGTATAGTAAAGCTCAGAGAGAGACCTGCTGGGCACAGAGACTCACAGGACCCTCAAGTTATTCATTCATTCATTTCATTCTCCGTTTATTACAGGAACCATATCCTACTTTAGTTACATTTAATTTGCTCCCTTAAGTCAGTTTTGTAAGTCAAATTTGCAATAATTGTCTAGTTTATATGTCTGGTTTACATGACGATTTAAAGGTTTACATTTCAGTAAACAGTAATCTAAAAACAGTTTGAAAAGTATGAATTTAATCGGTTTGATGAATTTAATGAATTTAACCTCTGGGGAGGAGTTCAGAAAAAAATTCTGCTTCATTGTTACCCTTAATGGAAGAAGTTTGAAACCACCAGGACTCTTCCTAGAGCTGGCCTCCTGGCCAAACTGAGAAATTGATGGAGAAGGGCTTTGGTTAGTATGGTAACCAAGATCATATGTGGATATAGGAGAAATCTACAGAAGGACAAACATTGCTGCAACACTCCACCAATCCAGTCTTTATGGCGGTGTGGCCAAACTCAATACTCTCTTCAGTTAAGACACATGAAAACACAATTTTACATTTACAAAAAAGCACCTTAAGGACCCTCAGACTCTGTGAAACAGGATTCTCTGGTCTGATGAACCTCAGTTCTAAGCATCATGTTTGAAAGAAACCAGCTCCGCTCATCACCTGCAGAGTACCATCCCAAAAGTAAAGTGTGCTGGTAGCAGCCTCACGCTGTGGGGCTGTTTTTCAGCAACAGGAACTGAGGGACTCATTAGAGTAGAAGAAACGCTCAGTGCAGCAAAATATTGAGATAGCCTTAATGAAAACCCAGTCCAGAGCATTCAGAACCTCAGACTGGGCAGAAGGTTTACCTTCCAACAGGACAATGGACCTATGCATACAGCAAGAGTTGGCTTATAGACAACTCTGTGAATGTCCTTGAGTGGCCCTGCCAGAGCCTGGGATTGAACCCAATCAAATATTTCTGGAGAAACCTGAAAATGTGCATCTGCCCCCATCCAACCTGACAGAGCTCGAGAGGTGAACAAGTGAGGTGAAGAATGGCAGATAATTGCAAAATGCTGATGAGCAAAGCTTGTCGCATCAAACAAAAAAAAAGACTTGAGACTGTAAAGGTGCTTATACATAACAAATTATTTAAAAAAATGAAGGAGTATGAATACTTTCGCAAGGCACTATATACAGTATATATACATATACACAAGTATCTCACAGAAGTGAGTACACCCCTCACATTTTTGTAAATATTTTATTATATCTTTTCATGTGACAACACTGAAGAAATGACACTTTGCTACAATGTAAAGTAGTGAGTGTACAGCTTGTATAACAGTGTAAATTTGCTGTCCCCTCAAAATAACTCCACACACAGCCATTAATGTCTAAACCGCTGGTGTCATGTGACTCATTAGTGTTACAAGGTCTCAGGTGTGAATGGGGAGATGTTATATTTTGTGTGGTGAGTGTGTGTGTGTGTGTGTGTGTGTAGGAGCGTGTGTGTGTGTGTGTGTGTGTGTGTGTGTGGAAATGAAATGGTGTGAGTGCTCCAGGTGTGTGCTTGATGGTGAATCCTGTCGCTGCTTTATTTATGAGTTTGTCTGAACACTGATACAGCCTGACCATTGCTCTCTCTCTCTCCCTCGTCCCTCCATCTGTGTAGATTTTCATCTTCTCATTCATTTTGTCCCTGATCTCTCCACCTTGTCTCATTTTTTCTTGTCTTTCTTCTTGTGTCTATCTACTTCTATCTTCTTACTAACAGCTCAAGCTACTCTATGTGGTTAATTAGATCAGTGATCTTCTAGCCTGGAGTTTCTCCTTTATTAGAGAGCGGTAAGACATGTGTGTGTTTCAGTGGTAGGGAGATTTTTCTTTAAAGAGCTTTATCTCTGCTGCGTACCTTTATCAGCATCAGATTAATCATTCATAATCCCTTCACAAAAATCTCTCTCTATTTCAATTTTAGTGTGCTTTATTGGCAAGATAAAACTGCAAATATGCATTACCATACAAATATTGCCATTTCATTGTGTGTGTGTGTGTGTGTGTGTGCGTGCGTGCGTGCGTGCGTGCGTGCGTGCGTGCGTGCGTGCGTGCGCGCGGCGCAATAGCATGTTTGGATGAATCTCACAGCATCTGTCCTGAACATGTTCAGTATTTATTTTACTCCAAATTAAAAATATATATATATATATATATATTGCATAAATAAAATATGTGCTTATGTTCATGTTTTGTATTTTTATGTTATCATTTTATGTTAAATTCTCAGTGCTCTAATGCAAGAAAAGTATTTTTTTTATTTTTTTATAAATTGTTAAAATTCATAGTTTTTATTGTACTTAATTAAATTTGTAATTTTTACTGTAATGCAATATCAATTTGTATTCAATTAATAACTGTATTTTATTGTAATACGGTTATTAATTCAATCTTGTAATGCAAGAATGAATATTAATATTTGATAATATTTCAAATTAAATTTAAGATTTATATTTAATTACATTAATTGATATTTTGTTTTAATATCATGGTAAATTTTTTCAAAAAAATTGCTTCATTTACATTATACAAAATATATTTTTTTCTTTTAATTTTGGTATCAAATGGGGAATTTACTCATTTTCAGGGTATTTACTCATTTTGTCATGGACTGGTCTATAGTCTTCAATCATGTAGTGGCCTGTTGTGTTGTTGAGACACTGTACTTTGGTTCTCAAGTCTGAAAAACTACACAAACACCCTAAAGAGAGTCTAAGATCTGTGAGGATTCATTTCCCCCTATAAATGCAAATTTGAACTCACTCACCAAGAGTCAGAGTCAAGAGTCTGCTACAAAGAGTGAATCCATTAGCTCTATGGGGTAAGAGGCAAGAGATTAAATACTCGTGCAGTAGAGGAGGACTTTCTTTTTAATGGTAATTTATTCAATTTTCCTTTGTATTTACCATGCATGTCTTAACCTTATTTTAAGTGCAAATCAAGCCATGCTGTTGGCGTATTTGATCAAATCAGTCACGATCAGATTGTAACTAATCTCCGCAAGTAAACCATGCTAGTGTCTAAGGGCTGCGCATTTCTCCTTAAAGGAATTAACTCTGTACAATCCTCATTCTCATTCTCTCTCACGACGAAAAAGTGCATTCTCTGAATATTATGACTCTTATTGCTGTGCTGCAGAGGCATGCAGTGACATCAGGGCTGTGTTTGTTTGTTATATTATGTTGATAACATCATGTGGTTCAGGTTAAATGTTACATCTGGGCTAGAGAAGCGTGGCAGGAGTAATCTGTGTGAAATACAGCAGTAATGATTATTGCTTCAGAATCAGCTCAGGCTGATGCTTTACATTCCAGTTTACATGGATTTGCATTTCAGTATGTTATTAGTATTACTGTAACATTCATATGTCTTATTTAAAATCATTTCTGGATTGCACAGGGTACAAACGCTAACCCTTTTCTAATTTCTGCTCAGTGTTTGGAGTATAAGCAAATGACCCATAATATTAAAGCTAATTAAGATGTCGTTATTGTAAAACATGCTCTGAAGCATAAAACAACCATTTAATATTGTTTCTCTGGTGTCCTGCTGATGGAATGAGATAATTATCTCTCAAGGGCAAATATATATATATATGTTTATATATTTTGAAGAATCTAGGATGTTTTTGCCATACAAAATCTTCATACTGTACAAAATGTATCTTTGTTGTAACATAAATAAATCTTAATGTAGTTAGAACATAGAGTTTGGAGCTTCTCTTCTTTCTTTCTCCAACAAAATCTATTTTTCTCACATAAGAGGTTTATATTAAATGTATGATATGATGTCTGATATGACCTTGGTCGCGTTTTGGTTTTACGTCATTCATCCGAGTCATGTTTCCCTCTCTCTGCTCTCAGGTAGTGGAGAAGCAGGTGATACTGACCTCAGCACATCTCCTGTGGACCTGATAATGACCTCTCTAACCTGAGAACATCACACAGCATGCTAACATGTCCATTAACCGCTCACAGTATGTTCATAACAACAATTCTCTACATGCTTATCTGAGTTTGGGCACTCGTTCTCTTTCTGAAATACCGATGAGAAAACCTGAATTATTAAGCATCATTTCAGAAAATATAAATACAAGTTCACATATTCTATGACGTAGAAAAAGATCATCAGGTTTGGTGGTGGTGTTCTGAATAGAGAGGCTAATGCATGAGACTCAATCTCTGTGTTCCCCCCTGGATCTCATTATGGAAATCAAGGTGGAGTTGATATGGGGGAGGGACGCTGGAAAAAAGAGCAAAATAAACAGCTATTTATATCTTAGCCATGTGATTAACGGATTAACTAAACAGGCTCCTCCCAAACTTGCATTAGGAGCTCTATTTAATATAATAATAGGGGAGACTGGGACTAGCTGCCACAGCTTTAGTGAATATTTCTCAAGGATGTTTTATTTTTACAAGGCAATTTCTCTATAGACATACCTTACAGTCTTGGTTACAAAAAAAACAGGAAAAAAGATTCAGTACATTGAACATGTTGTCGGAGTGGAAATTAAAATAAAATAAAAACTATTTTAGGCTCTTGACAACAAGCCCCAGTCTCTCCTATTGAACAATGAAAAGATAAGAATTTGTGTAGACATTATACCTGGTGATGATATAATGCCACATTTTTAGTATTCAATATGTAAAATCATCAGGAAAGGGGTCGGAGTGAGCTCTCTCAAACCATCACCCCTCTTCATTCCTGAGTTTCTTTGTTTTTAGATGTTTGTTGTAATGCTGAAAGTTCCTCATAACTGTGTTATGATGTACTGTGGTGTTGTGACAAATCATGTATATTGATTACATCCATCAATTCATTTTGTAAAACAAAACTACAATGCACTAGATATCTGAATAATAGTGCACCCATGGTAATATGTTTGTGTGCTTTCTGGAAGACCTAATCGTTGTTATAGAAACAACATGCATGCTTTCATTTCACTAGTTCTTCCATTGTTATTTTATAAAACATGGGCACTACAATCCAAGAAGTCACTCCAACAAGTGAACTTGTTTGAAGATGCCTGTTGTAGATCAGAGGAGAAGATCCTTTCACATGACTTGCATCAACATCTACCAATTGAACATCATGCTACAGCTCTGATGCACATTGTCCACAGGCCACACGCTGTAACACAAAGTTATAACCAATTCACACAATGTCAGAGACATATTCATAGACATATGAGAGGAGATGGACCACTTGTAAATTATAAATGGGAGAAATTGTAACACTTGATATGGTGACTGTAGTAATTAAAATCCTGATTTTCAGTTGTTTATTTGCACTTTGGACCAGCCTCAAAATATTTTTGGTGTAGGGGGAAAAAATATATAGGGATGTACAAATATTAATATTCTGATGGATACTGAATGGCCAGTATTTAATATTTATGTTATGACTGATAACTGACAATGACCAATATTAAAATTCTATACTATTTTTTCTAAATTAATTAAAAATAAAACAATAAAAGCTAAAATCAATCATTTTAAATGCTAAAAGTTCATTTAGGCATCACAATAATATATAATGTACAGTATGAAAAATAGATATTAATTTCGAAATTTGCTACACAATTTAAGATAATTTAACAGTCTTGTTAAATGATGAATGTTTTTAAATATTAACTATCAGTGAGTGTTAGATGATGGCAGATGTAGTCTAAATGTGAAAATAGCGGAAATGAGCATGTACTGTACAATTAAATATTCAATATTGGCTGATATATATATCCAATAAATCTGTAAACCGATATAGTTCCGATATATTGTGCATCCCTAAAACTGTACGATGCCATTGTTGTTTGATTTTATTTTCAATTCTGTTGAGATGTGCATTGACGCAAGTCATGGCAAAGGGCCTTAACAGCTGTTACACTTCAAAACCTCTGTAGAGCTCATTAGTTTCTCCAGGAACGTGTACAACTCTTGGGATAGTAGTGATTTGTCATTGTACAAACGCGTTTGTCTAAAGTAATTCACCGAAGCTGCCTGGGGTTTCCATAGTTCCATAGCTTCACCAGTCTTTTGTCAAGCAACTTATCTCCACACCACCATGTATTTGGTTAAGACGCTTAGCTCTGCGATTCCTGATAAAGGCTCGTGTTCGGCGGCGAGTTAACTAGCAGGATGGAGCGCAATAGATCCCTATACCAGAAAGACTGCAGAGCACAAACGGTATGTGTGTGTGAGAGAGAGTGAAAGAGAGAGGGGAAGACTTGCTACATGAGTGGGATCTTGAAGGGCCCACATTTGCAGTTGGGGACGGTGCATTGCCATGACAACCATCAGTCAGAGTGGGCCCTGAATCAAAAGCTCTCACTGTCAGCCTCGCAGGACGAAAACAGGGAGCAATTCAACAGTTAGTGTCTGCTTGACAACTAACACAACATCACTTTGGTATCGCAGATGCTCTGCCTTGGGATAAGACATCCTCTTCTTTGTTCCAGTGTCTTATTGAATCCTTTCCCTCACTCATTCTCTCTCACACACACTCTCTCAGAGTGTCTGTCATGCTTTTTGCTGGCACAAGAAGTTCCATTTTTTTCATCCTTTCTCAGAGTAAGTCTCTCAGTCGTTTCCCTTTCAAGATGAAAAATGCTTACCTCATGTTCTTTATGGGAACATGTCCTCCTTGTCCGTGTCTGGTGATGTCGGCCGTGAGATCTGGAAGAGTGACATGGGAGAGGTCGGAGACTTTCTGCTCCTTAGCAACCTCAACACCTCAGCGACCTGTGTCTCCAAGGCAACCATTCGGTTACCGAGTGCAGACAGCTCCTCTTTAAGTTCAGTACGGAGTTCCAGGAGCGAGGCGTGCAATGTGTGTTCGGGAATAGTGGGAATTGGTGGGATCGGGGGAGATTTTCCATCGGGCTGGACCGGGCTTTGGTCTACAGGGGTGCAGGCGCCACCTTCGTCCAGCCGGAGGTCGCTTTTGGTGATGCCACTGTCGCAGGAATCGGTCTTCTTCAGTCCGCTGGGCTCTGAAATCTTTCCGGAGCCGCTTCGCTCTGGCAGAGTCTCCATCGATTCCGCTTTAGGAACATTTCCCCAGCTTTCTGGCTTTGCCATGCTCTCCCTAAACCTCGCCCATCCTCGTGCACGTGGCTCTGATGTCCGAGGGACGTTTGGGGCAGGGGCGCTAAGCTTGGCCTGGTCGAATGGACCCAGGGTATGGTTTTTGCTCTGGTGGGATGGGATAGGCGTGGCAGGGCTCTCTGTTACCGTGACGATGCTTGTGGTGGCAACTACATCTTGGCTGATCACTTCGTGGTGAATTTGGCCCTTCTCAAGATCAGGGTCATCGGTATTGGGATGCCCAGTGGCAAGACGGGCTTCCTTCTGCTGGCGGAATCGCTGGAACAGACGGCGGACAGGATGATCAGGGGGGAGATTCAGAGGGGCCTCGTTCTTCCTCCTCATCCTCTCCTCTTCCTCACGCTTCACGTCACTGATCTTTCTGAACACAAGCTGAAAAGTCACAGAGAATTAGTTAGACATATACATGCAGTCAGGCAACCATTAAACAAGAACATCAAAACAGAAGAATTTTATGCTAGAATTTAGATGCTTTTGTCCAAGCAACTTGCATTGCATTCAAGGTATACATTTTTCAGTTTGTGCATTCCCTGAGAATCAAGCCCATGATCTTTGCATTGCTAGCACTATACTCTACCATTTGAGCTATAGGAATGCTCTACATTAAATACAGTTCTAAAATATATAATTTAATAGAATTAGATCTAAATAGAATAGAATCTAAAATATTAGAACTATATTATTAAAAAAAATTATATTTTGCATTGTCAGTAACCGTGTAATTTTAATTAAATTGCACTTCTCAACTGTTTTTGTCCACATAAGTGAGTCCACAAAGAAAGTCAATGGGGTCCTAAACAACAAACAGACTCCACTGACTTTCATTGTATGGATTTTTAAAAAAAAACACTGAGACATTTTTCAAAATATCTTATTTTCTGTTCTACAGAATGCATAAGTACAGAAAGACATTTTTTGTTTTGGTGAACAATCCCTTTACCATTATATTAAAATCAAATAAACTGTGGTATGTCACTTTACGTTGAGCAGTTGCAAAATTAACTTGTCTTTATGCTGATAGTCCAAGGTCTGGCTGTGCAAGATTATGTATAGACTTCAGCAGGTCTAGACCACTTTCAGCCAGTCAATGGGGTCCTAAACAACAAACAGACTCCACTGACTTTCATTGTATGGATTTAAAAAAAAAAACACTGAGACATTTTTCAAAATATCTTATTTTCTGTTCTACAGAATGCATAAGTACAGAAAGACATTTTTTGTTTTGGTGAACAATCCCTTTACCATTATATTAAAATCAAATAAACTGTGGTATGTCACTTTACGTTGAGCAGTTGCAAAATTAACTTGTCTTTATGCTGATAGTCCAAGGTCTGGCTGTGCAAGATTATGTATAGACTTCAGCAGGTCTAGACCACTTTCAGCCACTCCATGTGTCTTGTTTATTGAGAGATCAGACTCACTGTCCTGGAGACCCTGCGTTCGGTGTCGTGACTTTTGCATGATATTCTAAGGTCTAAGTTATTTATTGGAGCTCATGTATATTTCAGAGTTGAAGGCTTTCTTGAGCAGATTCCCAAAGTCAAGCCTATGCTGTGTGAGTGTCTGCTCAAATCTTAGTGTGTGTGGGTCTGGCGGGAGCGATTTTATGCTGCACTTTGGTCAGAGATTGAAGGCATGTATTTCTCTCACACACATGCTGGCATTCAGTTTTGATTGGTTAGAGGGAAGGTTTAATAATTATGTGATGAGTGGGGGCGGGGCCGAGAGCCGTGGGAACGGAGCGAGGCCGGTGGAGTAATTGATAATGAGCGACACCTGCACCACTCACTGGTCTAGAGTCCCACCGAGGAGCTCCAGAGGGATAAAAGGAGGAGTGACGATAGTGAACGACGAGAGAGGACCAGGCCTGGACTTTATTTTGTGTTTTGGGTCTGTTTGTGCGCGACAGTCGTCCGCGAGGGGCTGTTGCACTGTTTTGTGTTTATTTTATTATTAAAGTTTTGTTTAAGTGTTCGCCGGTTCCCGCCTCCTTCTTCCCGAACTACGAACTTTGTTACAAATTACAATGGTAAAAAAAGCTTATTAAAAGAAGACTGTGTGTGTGTGTGTGTACACACCTCTGCATACTGAGACAGTTTGTTCCTGTCACTATTGCAAGCTGGACATTTGTATGACTCCATCTTCAATATGTTAATATCCTTATTGATGTTCTGAATATTCATTAAGAGGGACAGAGTGCCCAAGCATCTGTACCGCCAATCTGTCTGTAAAATTACTGGAAACAGAACAACACACACATGCTCTTCTCTCGTGTCTAGTAGGAGATGATAGTGCTGTAGTGCCGTGGAAGCTTGTTTGTTTTGCGCCGTGAACAATTTCAAAACTTTAATTTACTTTGATATAATTACTATAATGTCATATATACTGTGAAGGTTTTGAAAATGTTGTGTATGTGTATGTGTTGTGTATTAGGCGTTGCTTTGGGGGTTTAAATCCTTTCCTGAGACAAGAGACAGACTCTTGCTTTCATAACACATCAAACACAAACACTGTTTCAACAAATGACACACAGGACCTGCTATCAACATCTGTCTACAGTGATCCAATCACAAGTGGTCAGGTGATACACATGGCCTTTTACCTCTGCTGTGACTTTTCAACTTTATATCTCCCTACTAGTTTACATCTCATAATTTCAGTTTGAGTTTATATCTTACAGTTTGGCTAAATATCTCTCAATTTGACTTTATCCCAATTTTATGTTGTCTTAGAATTTTTACTTTATAACCTATAGTTTTGACTTTATACAGTATCTTAGACTTTATATCTTACAGTTTAATGTAATATCTTACAATTTGACATATCTCTGAATTTGACTTTATATCTCACAATTTGTCTTTATACCTCACAAGTTTGAATTTATATCTTACAATTTTGTCTTTATATATTACAAATTGACTTTATCCATTTTGGACTTCATATATCAGAGTTCTGACTTTATATCCCCAGTTTGACTTTACATCTCCCAATTCTGTCTTTATATTTCACAGTGTGACTTTATATAAAAATGATCTTACAATTCAACCTAATTTCTTATTTTAACCTTTATCTCAATTACATTTTTTATTTTCATAATGATGCTGATAATTTTTTTGTTTTAATAAGCTAAAATACATCAATGAATGTATAACAGGAGTGGACAGGACTTGAATGGATAGCAAGCCGGTTAAAGGGAGGTTGAGCACATGTCTGAGAGCTGTGTGTGGGAGGGAACGTTGCCGCTGTCACTTTCCAAAATGACAAAACTCAGTCAAACATTAAAAATTACCAATTCCAGCATCGCAAACAACTGGAGAGCGTTCCCCTTTATTATATACATCCAGCTGCAAGCAATTTCATCAAGTGGTGGGAACAAAAATCGACCGTGGCAAAAATTTACACAATCACATTCTTTTCCATTCTTGAGTTTAGACACCACAAAATGATCCTTACATGATGTGTATTAGTGGGAGAAATATTGCATATTAGGCATTTCCCCATGATGTCTCACATAAAATTGTTTCATTTGGGCTTTAATGTGCTCAGATTTGTCATATTGCCACTTTCCATCCGAATGTAATGTTTCTTTGTAATTGAACTCTAAATAACGCATCGTGTTTGGCGGCAGGTGGAGAAATATATTGCCTGAACTCCCTCTGAGAATCCAGGCTGAACGAGAGAACTGAAGAAATCAGTTAGACAGATAGACAGCCTCAGTAGATTGCGCTTCTGAATGACGTCAAGGGGCTTGTTTCTCTCTGCTTTACAGAGATGATGGACAGTAATGACCAGGCCGCTGCCCTCCCATTCAGCCGTTCCCATCCTGGACACAGACACACACAGGCCCTTCCACTATCCGCAAATAAATCCATCCTTATAGCCATCATCCTTATTTCTGAGCCACGGTATCCATACACACGTTTAGCCAGCTTTAGCGAAGACAATCATACCATATCTGTAACACTAGAAAAAGTGTTTATTTATTTTTTTGTCCATAGTAAATTATGACAGAATAATCTTTTTTGGATTAATTATCTCTTTAAATACTACTTAAGCTCAAACAACATCTGTGATGTGATTTTTATTTCCACAAAATCATTTTAACTCATCTCTCAGTTTGTTAAAGTAAAAAAAAAAAATCATAATAATTTAGTCATTTAAAACTATAAAATTATACAGTTCTTTATATGCAGCAAACCTCATCCTCAGGAATTACACCAATACACACAATCAGTTATACATATTTAATATATTTTTGCTTTAACAAACCCACTGGTACAAACTTCCTTATACTGTATACTTCAATTGTAAATGCATCACTTGTGCTGTGATGAAAATCCTTTACCTAATTTAGTGTTCTCAGTGAATAACCAGTCTTTTAAAAATTGCATGCAAATCTCTCATTATGCTATAATATCACCAAATATTGGATTATTTTTTTAGTCAGCTTGTTTTCTTTCAGTTAGCACAGGTTTTGTATTTCTTATTAATTTTGAGCTATAACAAGAAATTTATAGGCGTTTTTTTTGTAGACAGGTCATGTTTTTTTGTAGTTGTTATTGATGTGTTAACATTAACTAGCATTTTCAGGGAAAAGAAAACATGAGGGTTAAAGACACTTTATTCTTTTCACAAACTGAGGGAAGAGTCAAAATGATATTCTGACACTTTAAATTGTATTTATATGAAAAAATATTCCTTTAAATCACAACAAACTCCACAAAAAAATCTTAGTACTTAAATGTGAATACTGAGCCTGTCAGTACTCATGCTGACAGAAACAGAGGTCTGCCATTGTTTCTGGTGTTTTGTAAACCCTTGCCCTTGAAGGATATACGAGGCAGAGAAAGGACAGACATGCAGAGAAGGATTACATAACAAAAGCTGAAGCATTACACAAAGGTGTGTGTGTCTGCGTGTACGAGGAGGGTGGTATTATGTGCTCACACAGAGATTCCTAATGGTGTATTGATAGAATCCTTCTGTTGCCATGCGTCCCTCGCACTCCCGCACATACACGGCCCTCTTGTGTATTCTGCTATTGCTTTTCTTCCCCTAAGTATATCATCATCAAACAGGGAAACTCATTCTGCAGCTCTCAAAGTGTTCAAAATGTGTGTGTGATGTTGAAGGTGTTAGTCTGCGGATAGAACGGTAAAAAGGAGGGGACAGCGGGGCGAGAGGGAGCACTGTTTCATAATTCAAACAAAAAGCCGACTATGCACATCGAAGCAGAAAAAAATTCCCATAACACTGTAATACTCTGAAATGAAAGCATACGCACACCTATCTTACTTTCTCTACCTCTACCGCCCACTGTCCTGTTTTACTTTTCTCTTTACCTATCACTAAACCTCCATTTGCACCCTGTC